GTGTACGGTCCTGTAAAAAAAATATCCCTGATTTTTAATGAACATGTAAAAACTTTTAGTAACATACGTTCATTATTATTATTATTACCAGCTGAAACACCCCCCCCCCTCCACGTATTATTGAAGTTTTTGCTCGTTATGTTTTGGTTAAGATCACAACCTGTGTTCAACGAGGTGTTAAGTGTTAGTTTTACCTCTCAAGAGTCAGGGCGGAGTCATGCACTACAATAAAAAGACTAATTAATATTTTCTTAATAATGTTGAACTAGTGTATTACTAACCTTGCTACGCGCTTAAAGACCCTCGTTATCGAAGCGTAGTAATAACATCATAACAACAACAATAACCACGAATACTTACCCCAAATGGTCTGTACTTTCCCTCTAGAACAAAATAAACTCGTAGATTGGCCAATATCTGTATGTGTCTAAATCTGATTATATATATATTTAACTTATAGTATTATATTATCTCATTTAGGAAGTCAGATCAACATTAACAAATCCCTGTAGATAAAATTCACATGTATCATTTGGTAGAGAGGAGGTGGGTAAGCGAGTGTTGGTGGCAGAGGGAGCAGCGGCGGGTTATTGGCTAAACTCAGAAAACTTAGTTGTGAATGTGGTAGTCGATACATCGTCTTATCAAGTTCTGTCGAGTTGCATTGGATTTTCTTTCAATGGTTGTGGAGTTATGGGGTTTGTCCTGGGCCAGACAGACGGATAGACAGACAGATAAACAGACAGACGGATAGATAGATAGATAGATAGACAGACAGACGGATAGATAGATAGAATGAAGACAGACAGGCAGATCAAGTTTTAGAGAGAGAGATATGTGTAATATTGAGAGACAATTCATCAATTAAATCATCAACCAACTCGTCAATCAATTCACCTGGTCAACTCATCAATCAACTCACCTGGTCAACTCATTCATACTTCGTCAAGTTACTACCTCATCAGTCAATTAATCAGTCGACTCCATTATTCACCTCACCAATGAATCACCATTTAATTTGTCAACCAACTCACCAGTCAGTTCATGTATAAACTCATTAATCACGCCATCAGTCAACTCAGCAATTAACTGACGTAGTGAGTTATTTGATTGTAAATTACCTTAAAATTCTGGGATAACCTGACAGGTAGTTTGTGGTGTCTGTGTTGAGTAATTGGTGGGACGAGTCTAGATTACAGTAGTAGTTTGTTTTGATCCCTTCCTTCACTCCCTTCTCTCCCTGCCTCCCCCCTCCCTTCCTTTCTCCCTCCCTCCCTTCCTCTCTCCCTCCCTCCCTCCCTTCCTCCTCCTTCCCTCCTCCCTCCCTCTCTCCTCCTCCTCCCTCCTTCACCCTCCCTCTCCCTCCCTCCCTCCTCCTCCTCCCTCTCTCCCTCCCTCCTCCTCCCTCCTCCCTCCCTCCTCCTCTCCCTCCTCCCTCTTCTTCCTCTCCTCCTCCCTCCTTCCTCTCTCTCCCCTCCTCCTCCTCTCTCCCTCACCTCCCTCCCTCCCTCCCTCCCTCCTCCTCCCTCCCTCCCTCCCTCTCCCTCTCTCTCCTCCTCCTCCCTCCCTCCCTCCCCTCCCCTCTCCTCCCTCTCCCTCCCCCTCTTCCTTCCTCTCTCCCTCTCCCTCCCTCCTTCCCTCCTCCTCCCTTCTCTCTCCCTCCCTCCTCCCTCCTTCTCTCCCTCCCTCCCTCTCTCCCTCCCTCCTCCCTTCCTCCTCCTCTCTCCCTCTCTCCTCCCTCCCTCCTCCTCCCTCACCCTCCCTCCCTCCCTCCCTCCTTCCCAGACTCTCCTCCTCCCTCTCTCCCTCCTCCTCCTTCTCCCTCCTCCATCCCTCCCCTCCCCCTCTCCCTCTCCTCCTCCTCCCCCCCTCCTCCCTAATCAGCATCGTTCTTCCTTCTCCTCCTCTTTCGTATAGATTCCATCAACACTCATCCAACATCCTCCTCCCTTTCCTCCCCTTCCTTCACCCATTATTTTCCTCACTTCCTCCCCATACCCATCATACTTCCCTCACCCAACATCTTTCCCTTCTAATACCTGTTGGTGTGTCCTGGGTTCTCTATTCTCATCTCTCTGTGTTCTCTCTCTCTCTCTCTCTCTCCTTAATTCTCCCATCTAAAGATTCGGTCGCACTCTTCAGCTTATTTTACCAGATGATTAAATACCGTAACGCTAACCTAACCTGACCTCTTCTTTATTTATTTTTATTTATTTTCCTAATTCTTTTCTTCCCTCCCTCTGCATTTCTCCCATTCCGTCCCAACACAATCCTACCACACACCCGTCTCTCTCTCGGTATACAGTAGGAGGCGCCACAGTCCGCTGTTATACAACTAAACACGGTGACGTTAACCCAGGATTCCACTCTGAATTATTACGTGTGTGACGATACAGGCGAGTAAACACACACACACACACACACACACACACACACACACACACACACGCACACGCGCGCGCGCCCCCACTCAAAGCTAAGAGTGAGTCCATACTTAAGTAGAGACGAGAAAAAGCTTCCAGAGGACAAGTTAGAAAACGTCTTAGTCATGCATTAGTGAGTTACCGGATCCAATTATTAGCCTATTTAGTCTTGGTAGAACACACGTATAAGGAGGCATTATTTACCCATAATTGGATTTGCGAATTGACGTTTAGGCTGTTATAAAATTTTCCCGGCGGCTCTATAGAACGGCAGCAGAGACTCGCCAAATGATCCAACAAACAAGATCTTTTTATTTTTTTTGGTGATAGAAAATTCTGTCTTCCGGTCACGAGGACTTTGAAGATGAGTAAAGAGAAGGACGACCTGCAATCTCAAACATACCTGACATGAGAACTCAAGGTGACGTGAGAATCCGTGAAGATAGCCATTTCGTACCCAGAGGACAGACAAGAGCAGGAAATTACTATTCCCGTGTGTTGATATATCAGATGAAACGAAAATTCCAAGAAAATTGACCAAAGTTTACCGACAACGGATGGAATCTTTACCGACACAACTTACCTGGCCATTATTGGTGTAGAAGTGGTGGTTCAGCCCCCACGGTCACCAAAATTAGATCCCTCTGACTTTTTCTATTTCCTGGAATTAAAAGAATTGCTTTTGGGTCGCCATTTAAGGTCGACGAAAACTTTTTAAACACCGTGATGAGTTTGGCCAACACAGTGCCTCCAATGTGTTCAAACTATATAAACTGAAATAAAACTAAATTATCTATTTAGTGTATAACAATTTTTTAGAGGGACAATCTGGGCTTTAACTGTTGTAAATAAAAGTAATAAATACGCGTTGTAAATCCCAGTAAGAGCTTCCTACATAAACTTCTCGGTAATTAATGGCTGACATAAATCCTCTTATCAAGGTTTTTATTACCCAAAGTTATATTTGACGTTCCATTAATAACTCAGGTATGTTATTTATCTAAGGTAATTAACAGGTGAGTTACACACATATATATATATATGATATTTATTGGAGCGAAACACACACAGGTAAAAAGTGTCACAGCAACAAGACACACTACACCAGGTATACCAAGACTCGCTACACCAGAGAACAACAAGTGGCCGCCTCCCTCTCCTGGTGAAGGAGGAACTATACGAGGACCACACGTACGTAATAAGACGCCACCCATCCGGAATAACGTCCTCGAGATGAAGATTAATCTTGTCATCACTTAGTCTCCTAGCTTGTGGCTCGTGACCTCCTGACGCTGAGGAGAAGTGAGCCAGCCAAGTCACGGCCCTCAGCTGCCTATACTGCGGGAAATGTTTTGTGTTCTCAGATAATGTTATTGTGGAAACTTTATGAACACTTGATAGAGGAACATATTTGACTTATTCTTCTGTACGTACATGACTTACGCTAAGACTTTAGTACAACTTTAAGGATCAGTAATAAGTATAAAAGATCCATTTAACTATATTTCATCTTTTGTGGTTAAAGTGGTTCAGGCCCCTACCTGTTAAACAGTATCAGCACAGACAGTTACCATTTGTTGGTATTCATCTCGCTACAATAACAAACTTAGTGATGCTACGGTATAAAAATGCTCTCCCACCTCCCGCTTCTTCTGGCCCGTTTATATTGTATTTTATTTATTTAATTTACCGCTTAGGCGATGGAGGAAAACCGATGACTTGCTTAACGAATCTTTCCATTGTTTCTGAAGAGTTTGTCCTCCATCAGTAGGAGAAAACCTGTGGTGCTGGTTAGGATCACACTGGACATCACTACAATCCTTTGATCACTATTACCACATATTCCCGTCATCGTGGTGCCTTGGTCAGCAGCCTCACAATATCATACGTCACATACGTTCATGTAGCCATTGTCCCTTTAAGGATTATCTTTGTTGTTTATCTATAATCCTCAAGTTATTCGTAATCCACCTTCATCCCTCCCCTGTGATCGTTGTGTGTCGGGAAAATTAAAATATATATCTTGTTGGATCTTTTAATCACAGTGTAATAAAGTCTTATATTTTTGTGTTACGATGATGAAAAATAAAATATAATGATATAATATTGTAAGTTATGTAATTAAAAGTTATATATCATGTAAGGGGAAGGATCCAGTGTTAGTATGCAATGTGTTTGCACAATTGAGGCTAAGGAAAAAACAACTAAATATGAATTCACGTTCCGCTGGTTACTGCAACAACTACAGTATACACAGTAATAATTTACAAAGGATTAAACAAAAGGTCAATGTATCGAGAGGAGGATCAGAACTACTGGCTATAAAACATGAACAGTGTTGGTATTGGACTTTGTTGTATAATTATTATGCTAGGATTGGGAATGACTAATTATATATATATATATATATATATATATATATATATATATATATATATATATATATATATATATATATATATATATATATATATATAATTTTTGTTTTTATTATATCACCACCATATCATCATTATCTCTCCCCACCATCTCCCAGCATCTCTGTACGATTAAGACCAACTTGTCTCTCGCCTTCAGGAGATGATCCAGGAGATGAACCGCGTGGGGATGCTGGTGGATGTGTCGCACGCCTCGGCCAGGACGGCGCGGGACGTGCTGGCCACCTCCCGCGCCCCCGTCATCTTCTCCCACTCGGCCGCCCGCGCCCTCTGTGACATAGAGAGGAACGTGCCCGACGACATCCTCAGCTCCCTGGTGAGTACCTCCCGGCCGCCTCCTTCTGCCTCCTTGTTAGGATGTTTCTGTGTCTTGTTACCCCCCCCATCCCTCTCTCTCTCTCTCTCATAATGTTCGTACATCCTTCCCTCCTCCTCCATCCACTACAACTTTTCTGTTATTACCATTAACACAATGAGTCAGTAAGGTGGTGCACCAAATAGCTGCGACCATTAAAATGTTCATGAGTTGTTCTGTTTTATAGTTGTTGTTTTATAGGAAGAACCACCAGCAGTGTTTACTGCGGAGTCTTTGTTGTTTGAGGGACATTTTCCTAAAACCTCGAATTTCTATGTAAAATATTCTGAAAGTTCATTGACTTTTGCTGTGCTCTTTAAATATGACGATGACGCCTTAATTAGTATGACATATAAAGGGATATTTTTATTAATTTATTTTAATACGACACGAGGTGAAGGTAGTGAACCGCTCCCTCAAGAGATAACGACTCAAAATGAAAAAAAAAAGTTAATACAAATCATATTGAAGCTAGAGACTTGTGGGTTATCTGTTGACGCTAATTTGACGTAATGCTCCGACGTTGTTTCTTACCTGTCTATCTGACACATGACGGCTGTGTATTTAAAGTAATTAGGTACCTGTTACTGCTGGAAGGTGTGTTGGCCTAAGGGAAGGCTTAACAACGCACCTTCTTGGAATCTAAAGTCTATAGCGGGCATTTGGTGAAATACAGTCTATTCAATCATAACAATTTTTTTCGTATTTTAGTGTGAAAGAGACAGTTAAATTTTTTTTTTATTAAATTCTGTCACAGGGGGGAGATGATGTTCCCTGTCCACAGAAAAATCGCAACAACGATTTTAAAACGAAAACGATTTTATGTACCTGAGAAGAAAGAAAATTGGGTGAATTTACTCTCCGCAGTTTTTCCCTGGGCAGTAAAGTGGAAATATTATAACTAAAATAAAGAGAATTAAGAAAATCGGCACAGTGGAGCAGCGAGTGAAGTCCACCACAGCACAGAGGTAACAAGACTGGTGACGGCTGGGCAGGACACGGACACGCATCATACTCTTGTGAAGGATCATACACTGTGGTGGTCTGGCTGAAGTGAGTGAAATTGTTCAAAAGGAAGACCAGGGATAATGATGGAGTGTCGGTGTATGTGATGGTTCTCGATGACGATGATGTAGGTTCAGGTTATGGTGAGGTTCACGATAGTTCTGAGGAGTCGTTCAGGTGTCATTATTACCACGACTTGTCTTCACTACCTCTTGGCGTCTTGGGAGTTCAGAAGATCCTGGACTGGGTATTAGTAAGGTCTCCTCAGGATGGTGTTCTGAGAAAGACGTATAACATGACATACTTTTCTTCCACCTGGGTCCTGGTATTTAATTGTCTTCCTTTTTTAATGGCATACCAACGTCACATTTATTGTTATTTAATTTTGCTACGTCTGCTGCCCTCTTTCTTTAACACAGTGTATTTCTTTTTCACGGTAAGAGTCTTGGCTAAGAGTCACTTTAATCCACAAAGTTCTCACAATGTCACTTATATCTTTCTCACATCACCTACAAGAAACCTAAACGCGTCTTGACTTCCTCAGATAATCAGGAAAGCCCCAAAGTTTACATGACTTGTACGATAAAACGAACCCCAGCACCAGTGTTCTTCATTGTCTGGCTGGCGCTCCACCTCCCAGTGACTCCTTCAGACAGCTCCACCAAACGAACATTCACCACCCTCCACCCGGGCCACCTACTCTCCATCTTCTGCCTATACAGTGGCGCCCTTATCATCACACAAGCATAAGAGTCTATTACTGAATGCGACTTTATTACAGCTGAGACACCGAGAGACTCATATTTAGTGTGTAATAATAAGTCCAATTCTCAAGTGACTCAAAGATTTTTACGCTCTCCCAAGTTTTTCATCAAGTATTATTTCACTCCACAACTTACATCAACTCCATCAAATGAACTCCAAAAAAATATTATGCAAAAGTTTGGTGCTCGTATCTGTCATAAAACAGTAATGAAATAGAAGTAGTGGATTTATATACTAAACCAGTGAGAGTTTTATGGTTCTACATAAAATGTTATGGAAAAATTCTCTCTTGCCTTTTCTCTCTGTCTGTGTGTGTTTTGTCGTCTTTATTCGTCTTCCCCATCTCTTGATTTTTATTTATTTTTTTCATAATACTCATCAACTTCTTCTCAGTAAGGATATTAACTTGACTCGTATTCACTAATTCTCTTAAATTATCTTGAATTAACCTGTATTTAACCCTTTTATCTGGTTGACATCTAGTTACCTCATGACATAATGACCTCATATTTTA